GGAGGAGGTGGAGGAGAGGAGAAGAGCTGGGCTCTTCCATGATGATGTCCTTAAAAGGATGGGTGCTGGGGATCTGTACCTCATCATCTGTATAGGGGACAGCACTGACACATGGAGTGTCTCCAAAGTCAATTCAAATATAGAAACACCATCTATGGATTAGCTATAAAGCTCTAGCCCAAACCCACAGTATTTACATCCAAGAGTAAAGCACCACCTTAATCAGGCGCAATTCGTGTGCACAATGTAAAACAAAACACAGAATTAACTTAAATACATACATGCCTTCTGGTGAATTCCTAAAAGATGGAAGGTTTCTACCTTGTTGCTTTATTTTCTCCTTTTTGATATACTAGAGTATGCTCTGTGATTTGTCCACTCTCTTCCACATACATTATAGATATACAATAGAAAAGACATTGTCCATGCACCACCTAAATCCCAAAGTCAAGAATTTAATATGAAGTTCAAGGAAACTGTGTCACCATCATCATCATCATCACAATGCTGGTGGGTGACGTTCATTGGATCCTTTCCAGGTGCCAAGCATCATGTTAACTGCTTTGCACACAGTATGGTTAATCAGTTAATAATTGTCTTACAGTGCTAGGAGGTTAGTTACCAGAAATACAAAGAGTTTCTGTTATGACACATGTATATTATGGCTGCTAGGCACACGGAAAATGTGGTAAAAATTCTAAAATGCTAGCAGAATATCGGTGGATCTTCATGCTTGGGGATGCTGTGGCTGGTTTCTAATTATATTCTGCGGAAGTAAATCCTGTCTAGGTGCAGGTGAGTGGGAAAGACTGCTGCCTGCAGAACTCTTGTTGGAGAAATCCGAAGACAAACTGGTCCTTTTATTCTCTGACTGAGAGAAGTGCTGGTTCTGAGCTGAGCCTCTGGCGGCCTCCTTGTGCTGGAATCATCTGGATGCAGCATCAGATAAAGCAATCAAAAAGAAAATTCCTCTGAAACTCTCACTGCTATTTAATATTTTATTCATTCCCATGTTATTGTGCCTCGCCTGTGGTAAAACAGCCTCCAAACAGCCTCCCAGGAGTGAAGTGTTAGGAGGCTGACAAGCGTTTTCCCATGAATTGCTACTACAACACAATGGCATTTTGTTTGCTGTTTTGTTTCCTTGTCTTGGAACATTCTTTCTGACTTTCAAGGAAAAAAAAGAAACCCTCCTATGAATGGCAAAGAAAAGGAAAGAAAAGTTTCTTTTAAACTTTCAACCTTTCTTCGTTTGGTACTGGGTAGCATGTAAACATTTTTTTCTCATGGTATATATGCTAGTAGTTTCTTCCCTTTTTTGTGCTTTAAATAGCCTTTCTCCCCCTTTTTACCACATAGCATTGCCTTTCCATTATTGATTCAGAAAATCAGCAGGGGGAGAAAAAATCAACCGTGTACACATATTAAGAAAGAGAAGTCAGAGGAAGATGGATCAAACCATCCATCTATCCATGTGGCCATTTATCTATCAATCTATCTCGCTACCCACCGCCTCTATTGAAATAAATAGCGGGCACTGTACACATCGCTGGTTGGCTGAAGTTGTGATCTGGACAAAAGGTCTGTTTGGGAAAAGGATGCTGAAGCTCTAATTCTATTTGTGCCGGTTGAAAATCAGGAGGGGTTTTTCTACACTTCACTTTTATTAGATTATTTCTTATAGATGGTTTCTTTTTTCCTCCCAGACGCGTGGTGGAGGCTGCTGAAGCAGTTGGTCTATAGTTGGAATAATTAAATTAACCATTTGGTACAACTTTTAGGGGAGAGCTCGCGTGTAGAAAGCACAACTCGAACAAAACAGGGCGCTGGGGCTGGGGCTCCGTCCTGGCCCAGCCCCGAATGCCTTTCATCTTCGGAGCAGAAGCAGGGCCCCCGGGCCACAAAAGACCCGCAGAGGGGACGGTGGGCCAGGGGTGGTGGGGGCGGGGTGACGAGCGGGCCGGTGACACTGAACAAAATAAACCTACAAGGCCTACAAAGGGGAAGATGAAGTCAGCGCGCCTGTTCATCGGACCGCGCGGGGCTGGCGCAGAAAGGTCTCCGGGTGTACAGAGGGGGCGCGCCGCTTCCCCACCCGGCGAGGCGGGCGCCAGGGGGCGCCCGGAGAGAGGCCGCGGCTGGGCCCCGCACCTGGGAGAGGGCTGGCGCGGCGGGTCGGAGGAGGCGGGGAGTCGAGGCCGGTGGGAGCCCGGAGCCCGGGGCGGGGAGTGACCGGACCCGGCGCGGGCCGCGGGGCCGCGGGGAGCGCGAGCCCGCGCCCTGCCTGGCCGCGGCTGGGCCTGGCCCTCCGCGGCTCCCTCGCGCGCGCCCCCCGCGGCCTCGCGCTTCCCTCGCCCTCGCTCCTCGGCGGGGTCCTCCCCTCCCGCTCCTCGGCTTCCTGCCGGGTCGCCCTCCGACTCCTCGTCACCACCCAGCTCTCCCGAGCTGCACACCGCTCTTCCCACGCCAACATCCCCGGCGCCCAGGATCTGCCTCCAGGCACCGAGTAGATCCCAGAGTTCTACGTCTTCGCGGAAAAGTCATTCGCCAAAGCTGCCGAAAAACCCCGCTCCTCCCACCTCCCCGCACGCTCCCAGGTTCGCGGCTTGCCTCGGCCCCCAATGGGGCCTGGGGCTGTCTGCAAATTAGGACCCAGGAATTGCCGGGCTTGCGGGTCAGGCGTAGGGCCGGGCCCGGGCGCGGAGCGGGGGCGTGGGGCTCGGCTGGAGCTCCCGGCTCCGAGCGCGCGCGCACTAGACCCCGCGGAGACACAACCCTAGTGCACCCAGGCGCGGGTGCTAAGACGGGTGTGAGCCTGGTTATTGCCAAACGTGGGCTTTGGAGCCAAAACGTATCAGCTCACGGACGCTTCATGTCACTCTCTTATCCAAACAAGTGCTTAAAACCCCACACAAGCGGGCTAGCGGGGTGCCAGGCAGGTCTGCGCTCCCCGCATCCGCATCCCCGGAGCGTGGGCCTGGGGGCGGCGGTGTGGCGTTGGGAGCGCCAGGAGGGGCCCCTGAGAAGTCCAAGGGACTCGAGAAACTTAGACAATTGCAGCCTTGTGTTTGATAACCTATCCCCCACCTCGGAGAGGGGGGCAGTAAGTCAGGGTGGGGTAGGTCTGTGTGTAGGGTCCATAGTGGGGTGGGCACAGCCACCTCCCGGTCCAAATGTAGATTCATATTCATGAGAGAGGGATAAATAAAGACAAATCCCCACTGTAATAACACTTGGATTCGCATCCGTCTTTGCTGGCCTTTAGGTTTAGGAGACTGGAGACAGATGTTTGCATCTCTTTTCTCCTCTTGTCTGGTGACCATAAAGGAAAACCATTTAGAGCATTGCAATTTGTTTCCCGCCGCAGTAAAACCTTGTACACATTTATTTTCATTTCACCTCCGTGCACAAAAAAGTGCACAGTGGTCACCAAGGGCCCTTCTTTATCAAATACGCATTGTACAACATACAACTGCAATAAAACTATCAGCCCTCCCCATAAAACTATCACCAGGCTACTCGGCGGGGCCCGCTGCCTGCACTCTCGAGAGACTTCAGTGATTCCTCACGTCCAGAGGATGCGCCATCACCTGAAACCAGCCGGAAACTCACCCAGCGGAGAAGCACGAGGCTGGGGGACCGCTGTCCCTGTTTAATCCATTACGGCGTCCGCTGCAGTTTAGTGCGCAATAAAACACAGTGGCAGTGGAGAGCGGGCGCCCATCCACTCCCCGGCACTAGCATCGAATTAAACCACTTAGTTTGGCAAACACTGAACGCCTAAATGCCCCTATAAAGACTTTATGAGTTTGTTACTTTAATTACTGACTTGTTACAGAGCACATAAAGGGGGTAATGAATGCAATAAAACTAATTATCTACACATTTAATTCATATAAAATATCCAGGGTTTGTTTACACCACATGGCGATTCAACTAAGCATTCCTCCTCTTGTCCACCGAGAGGAAGGATTTAATGAAATAGTTTCCCTTATTCTGCTAGAGCCTAACGAACCAAATGAAAATTACCCTCCACTTAAATCATGGGGCCACCGAAGTCCACAAATCATGGCTCGTTTCTTTGTCTGTGCCTCGCTGCCAGCACCCAAGAGCCTGGGGAGCTGGACAAGAAAAGTCCCCGACCTGGAGCCTGGGCATTTAAAGAGCAAGGATTTCGTTCACCGCAATCGGCAAACCTAAAGGCCAAGCAGAGAGCAATTTTTTGGAAGCTTCCGGTCTCTAGGGAATTACGGGCACCTGAGAAAGTGGAGGTGGGGAAAAAAAAGAGGCAGAAGGAGAGGACCCAAGAGGGATGGAAGAGGAGGCACATTTGGGGACACTTCATGCCCACTTGCCAGTTACACAGCGTAATGAAAACCAACAATGACACAGACCAACAAAATGCAAACCTCACGATACTGCAGAAGAACCCAGAAGTGAGCGCAAGGAAACCATCAGCTGAGAATCCAGAAGTATCGCATTCAAGAGCTCTACTCAGATGTTCCTTTGTTTTTTAAGTGGCTGTGTAAGCAGAGTCTCTAGAAAAGCACATTAAGCCGCGACAAGAAATGCAATTTATGATGCTTTTTTTCTTTACCCCCTCTACCAGGTGTATTTTAAAGAAATCCGCTTAGCGTTCACAGAAACCCCCTTGGCCCACTTACTCTATGTTACAGGGCGCCTGAGTCTTGCCAATGTCCCAGTCCTTTATAACATTTCATGCACTTCAGGGGGTAGACTTGTTGTTAAATTGAGCGTGTAACGCTCTTACAAAACAGGTTTTCTATGACATCAAGGTTTCTTCTCCCTAACTGAGAAAGAGACAGACAGAGGGAGAAGGAAGAAGGCGGAAAACACACACACTATCTCAATTTATGCCTAAGGTATATGATCAGTTAAAAAGGCTTAAAAGCTCGGGGAAATTGGATCAGGGAGAATCGTCACCCAACTTTCATTATTTCCAAGTAGTGTGATTGAATTAAAGGGCAGGGAGCTGGTTAGAAGGGAGGATCAGGGGCTCAGTGCGTAATGGTGTGGTATTAAATTCTAATTAGAGATGCAGGAATCAATGATAGGGAGGTTGGACAGCTCAGTTCCCCAGTGCCAGCCCAATAGACGGATGAGTTATTGTCATGTAAAAAGCGCCAGCAATAAGACCAACCGCTTTGCTATTGTCCAAGTGGAAAGAGCCAAGTTTATTATGAGGACTATATGCTCTAGAGACCTCAGACAAGGCATCTCATAGGAGGCTTTTTCATAAAACTAGGCTCTGCTGGTAGTAAGGAGGCCAGTTTGGAGGCAGGCGTTGAGCTGTGCACATCTCCCCACTCCAGCCACCTTCTCCATACCCATCTTTTATTTCATTTTTCCACTTGGCTGAGCCATCCAGAGCCTTTTCAATGTATAAAATGGAATATTCTTACCTCAATTCCTCTGCCTACGAGTCTTGTATGGCCGGGATGGACACCTCGAGCCTGGCTTCAGCCTATGCTGACTTCAGTTCCTGCAGCCAGGCCAGTGGCTTCCAGTATAACCCGATAAGGACCACCTTTGGGGCCACGTCCGGCTGCCCGTCCCTCACGCCGGGATCCTGCAGCCTGAGCACCCTCAGGGATCACCAGAGCAGCCCGTACGCCGCAGGTAAGGACCGCTTTCTCCGCCGGCCGAGCCGCCTTTCCGCGCGCGTATATAGGAAGCCTTGATTGCATTTGAAAATGGAAATGTGTTTAGTATTTACCAAACGAAATTTGCTTACACAAATGAAAGAATTTATCACGTTAGAAGCGATTGCAGGGAGGGGTAATTCACTTACAGGGTTACACTATCCTAGTCACACCCGAACCGCCAACAAAATTATCTTAAGCTGCCAAAATGATAGGCATAATTTATTTACTTTGCGATGAGACGTAAAGCTTAGAAAATAATTAAATAACAAAGAGTAAAGCTCATTACTGGCAGTGTCTCTCTCTCTCTTTTTTAAAGAAACGACAGCGGCTCACACCTCTTTGCTGGTCATTTTTCTGATGATTTCTTTAATTCATCATCATTATTATTATTCTTTTGCAGCGCTTTCCCCCAACTTTGGGGCCGGGTCAACTTTTGAGAATTAAAAAGTTTCCACAGTGGGAGTGTTTGGTAACTTCGTTCCTGGCTTCCTGGTGTTCCGATGGAGGTTTTCGGAACTTTTTGCTTTTCCTCTTCACAGTACTTCCCCGTCCCCGGTCCTCAGCCGTCTCCAACGCTCGGCAACCCGCCCAAAGGCCGCTCGTGCGCGGAGGGACCCCAGCTAATGCCGGCGTGTGTGCCCGTTTCGGTGTATAACTAATGTGTTCGGGTTATCTCGCCAGCCTCTCTCGGCCACGCTCCCGCGCCGGTGTCGGCGGCGGCTCCAGCGCCACCTGCCCTTGGAGCCCCCACATTCCGGCTCCCGGGTCGGCGCACTCCAGACCCTTCTGCTCACGCCCTGTCCCCTCTGGTGTCCTCCAGTTCCGTACAAACTCTTCACGGACCACGGCGGCCTCAACGAGAAGCGCAAGCAACGGCGCATCCGCACCACGTTCACCAGCGCGCAGCTCAAAGAGCTGGAGAGGGTCTTCGCGGAGACGCACTACCCCGACATCTACACCCGCGAGGAGCTGGCGCTGAAGATCGACCTCACCGAGGCGCGAGTGCAGGTACGCGCCCCGGAACCCGCCCGGCTCTGCGGCACCGCGCCGGGCAGGGGTGCAGTGCGGCCGATCCTGCTGTAGGCTTGCGTTCCCGGGCCTCCTCCCAGAGGCCACGTTCGGAGGGGCTGTGTGCGCGAGGAAGGGCCAGGGAGCGCGTTCTTGGCTCTAAATTCACGGCCTCAACGTGTTTCCCACCCCAACTAGGGCTGTGCTGCATTCAGGGAATATGGGAGAGGCATTTCGGGGGCTCGGAAGCGCCCTGGGGGAGGAATGCGGACTTTGCTCCGTATCATAAGTATTCCGCCCCCCGCCCCCCAAACACCTCCTAACTCCAGAGCTTTTAATGGCGAGCTAATGGCGTATAGGTATGGATGCATTTTCCCGTGAACTGTGACTTGCAGCAGATCCGCACAGGGGCTGGGATTCTATGGCGGTCAAGATCGGCGCCTTACTCTAACCTTTCAGAGACACAGGTGCACCCGAGAGCTGGCCGTGGCGCCTCTCCTGGTAAACCAGCCCCCAACGTTAGCACCTCCAGGCTCAAAGGCCAGGATGGGCAGCAGGCGCCAAACCCAGAGACCCCCTCACCTGTCTACCAGTCAGAGTTTAACTTGAGACCCGAGGCCTAGAGGTGATGCCTAATTTGGGATGGCTCAGAAAGTAGACTCAGCAAGGGTACTTTGCCAAAATAAGGTGTCGTCAAAATAAGGGCTTCTATTTTAGGGCCTTTCGGGGGGCGTGCAGCCTCTTCCCTCCTACAGGCTATTTCCAGGACGTGCCCAGGTAGTCCTAAGAAAGTTTCTCAAAAGATGCACCAGTGGACGGACAGCTTCAGTGGGCTGGCTGCGCGCGGGAGTACCCACGGCGCGTGCAGTTTAAAACAATCTGGAAGGGAACGCGGGCCGCCCTAACTGCTTCTCTTTTCTTCCTTTTCTCCCTGTTTCGCCGTCTTCTCTTCTCGGGCCAGGTGTGGTTCCAGAACCGCCGCGCCAAGTTCCGCAAGCAAGAGCGCGCGGCAGCGGCCGCAGCGGCGGCGGCCAAGAACGGCTCTTCGGGAAAGAAGTCTGACTCCTCCCGGGACGACGAGAGCAAAGAGGCCAAGAGCACCGATCCGGACAGCACTGGGGGCCCGGGCCCCAACCCCAACCCCACTCCCAGCTGCGGGGCGAGTGGACATCCCGGATTCGCTCGGGGGTCCCTTCGCCAGCGTCCTATCTTCGCTCCAAAGACCCAACGGTGCCAAAGCCGCCTTAGTGAAGAGCAGTATGTTCTGATCTGGGATCTGCAGCGGCGGCGGCGGCGGGCGAGCCGGGTCCCCGCGGGCGAGTGGGTGAGCTGGGTAGGCCCAAGGCTATTGTCGCTGCTGCCGTGGTTTTTCCCTTGAGAGCCTAAAGTAATCGCGATAAGATTAAAGAGAAAACGGCGTCGCCCCCATTTCAAGCCCACTCCTCCTCCCTTTCTTCACCCCCAAACAAAACGAAACACCTCCCTGGCTTCGCACCTGCCTCGGGAACGCGCGCACGGGCCAGGCGGCCCCGCTTGCTGCCCGGGCGGTGTGAGCGACGCGGCCTGGACTCGGGGAGGGGGTGGAATCTCAGGGGGCTATGTCTGCGTGTCGGTGTGTGTCTGTCTCGGGGAGTGTGTGTCTGTGGCCCGAGCGGGACAGGGAGAAAGACGGCTGGGAGGCCACAACCAACTCAGTGACTTGCTTAGGGAAAGAGAAAAGCGAACAGAATTCCCCCCAATTAAAAAGAGAACGAAATAGGGAGGCAGTGACAGTTAAAACAAAAACAGAAAACCGACAGGCTTTAAAATCCAAGGGAAGGAAAAAATACAAGGGGGAAGAGGGAAGCGGCCGCTGGCCCCATCTGAGGGCTCTGTCTCCTGAATTCCTAAATTCATCCGCACCCTCTGAACGCCACCCTGGAGGCTCCCCTTCACGGAGAGTAGGAAGGCCTTCCAGTCGACCCGTTGCCCCTCTTGTCCTTGGGTTTGGGCCGCTGCGGCGACGCCTCGTGCAGACTGTCCCCGCGGCCAAGGTGGCTGCCTCGCGCCCGCTTGCCTGCCCCAACCTCGTCGAGCACCATCGCGCCAACTGCGCATCCGAACCCCTCACCGTCCCAGCTCTCCTCCTGAATCTCTGCAGCCACTCGGCCCTGAAAGATGCCCTGTCCATGAAATGCCTTTTCACCCGCGAACTCTGCAAACTTCGTCGCGTATCTCTCAACTCTTCCCTTTTTTTCTCTCCTGACACCCCCGCCGGCATTTTCTTCCACCAGCTTTTACCGAACTTTTTGGCACTGCTTTGGATGGGAGTCAATTGCAGTTCACGCAGCTGGCTGCAGAGAAATCTACCCAGCAAGGAAAAGAGGCGCACACAAGTCTGCAGAAGTGTCTCTGCATTTCTGTTTGATCCGAAATGGACTCACATCCTGTATGGCGGATGGACTGTATATTGATGATTCCATTCTTCGCGCAGTTTAGACATCTCTGTTGGGATTTTTTGTTTATTTGTTTATTTTTTTTTATTTTAAAAGGCACAAACTATATAGATATTAGTTGAATGTTGAGGCTTTAACTTTTTTGGTGTCTTTCTACAACTGTGTTCTGTGACTCAATTGTATCGTGTTAATATCAGTACAGCCCGTCTCCTACGTGACCGTATAATGTTTTTCTCTTCTTGTAGTCTCTATGGTGTGTCTTTATCTAATAATAAGGTTCTCACGGGTTCAATTCCTTTGTGTTTAGAGAGACCACGGTTCAGCCAATGGTATATATTTTTGTTATCAGGTGCATGTCTGTCTGATTTCTTTTTTCTTCTTGTTGGACTATGTTTGTGAACATAAGCGTCATAAGTTATGTTTCAGATTTTCAAATTTATTTATATGTGTTATAATGAATGCTTCTATTTAAAAGGGAAATATTTCTACATGTGCATATAGTTTTCCAAGAGTGTACCATTAACTTGATTGTTGATAATAAAAACAAAAAGCAAGTCTAGCAATTGAACTATTCTGACTTTTCCTTGATTCATTTTTGCTTGTTTTTAATTAATTAAAAATTATATTATGATTATAATGATAAGCGAGAGCAGACGAAATTGTAGAAAATATCTAGAAGCCTCTGCAGCTCTGGAAACCAAAGTAGATTGGAGAATCTAAATTCATGTGGCTAAATTCAGCCAATATAAAATTTAGTGCTTGAGATAGTAGTCAGGATTCTCCTGGTCCATTTTTCTTTCTTTCCCAGCCACAGAGCACAACAGAACAGGAGGCCATTGGTAGAAGTATTCAGGTCAGTACCTGGACTGATATTCTGCGGATCTGGTAGCAGCGAAGGCAAGGTTAAGCAGGATTCTGATCCTCAACTTTGAGAAGGACTTGAAAGCGCTCCGTGCAGGCGCTTTTAGGACCAGTGGCATCCGGGGAGGGCCAAATGGTCCCCAGGTGGCCCAGCAACCTTAAGCCCTGAAAATGAAGCCACTGGCGACCAGGAATACCAGAGGGTCTTTGTGTGAGCGGGGAGAGCATCTCTGCAATGCTAGTGTCTTTGGAGAATCCACAACTGGAGTTAGCAAGCACTTGCCTGGTACCGGGTTGTGTTTTCTATGCATTCTCTCACCTACCTCTCAAAATAACATCAGGAAGCAGGTGTAATTCCTATCCTTAGTTTCTTTTAGATAGGTGAGCAAGCTGAGGTGACAGAAATGTTAACTTGCTCACATGGTCCTAGTATATGAGTGCTGGGGCCAGTCTTTGAACCCAGGAAATCTGATTCCAGAGCCTGCCCATTAAACTCTACCAGTGCTTCCCAAAGCGTGGTCCCTGGACCAGCAGACTCAGCATCACCTGGGAACTTATCAGATACACAAGTTCTTAGACCCCATCTGAGACCTACAGAATCAGAAACTCTGGAAGTGAGACCCAGCCATCTGTATTTTACAAGCCCTATAGAGAATGTGAGAACAACTGAACTACAGTATAATAAATCCAAATGGGAAGTTTCTAGAATCAGAACTACATTGGAAACAGGCCTGTTTGTGTGTGGACACTTCAATAACTCCCTTTTGGAAGGATATAATCATCATCACAGATTCCAGATAGAATCTTGTCTCCTCTTTGGACTGTTTGTCTGGGCCGCCTTCTTCAAGTAGATGCCTGTGTGGATTTCCGGCAATTACCTTCCTGGCTGGACTTTATCAATACATGAGTCAGCTCCCCCTATTTGATGGGAGGCCACAGTCTGCTTTCTCGAGTCTGAGGATTAGCAGCTGATCTGGTTTGAATTTATCAAGGCCTCTCACCTCAAGCATCTAAATATGGATTGCATCAGATCAGACAGGTTTCACTTAAAAATTTGAAACCTTTGGGTCTTACTGCACTTCTAATAGTTTTTCTAAAAGACTTTTAAATAGTCTTTTTAAAAAAAATCTGAATCTTACTGACCTTCAGTAAATTCTCCTAGACAACATTACATAAACAGTGGCATTAATTTTGATGGTCTAAAATGCCAGCAATTGCCAGACCCCTTAAATCCCAGTCTTTGATTGTAAATACAAGTTAGAAGTTCTGGGAGAGGCAAAAAGAAGGGCTGAAATATACTGACAAAAAACATATTCCAGACCCAGGTAACTCAGTCCTGGGCTTGGCCAGAGGAAAATTAGCCTTCCTCTGGCATTGAAGGACAGCAGGTGAGCCTCTGGGCAGATCAGTGGGACAGGCATTCTGCAGAAGGCAAGACCGGGAGGGAGAGAGAAAACAAGCAGCAGAGAGAAGGAAGAAGAGAGATGGGGAAAGAAGAGAAATAACAAATTACCAAATAAGAGATTTTGGAAACCCCAGAGAGGGTCCTAGAAATCCTTTCAGCTTTGAATAAACTTCATAAGCTTCCCCAAATTCCCTTCTCCTGGTCTTGACCTGCTTTGAGCACTTTATCAAAGTGCTCAAGGACCAGGGAAACTTTGGAAAATGGCGAGGAAAACATGCTTCCATCTCTCCACTTCTACTCCGCATCAGTTTCCCAGAAGACTGTATTTTAAGGGTTCAGAGGCAGCCAGCTTTTAGTATCTCAGATATCAGTTTCTTTTTTACTTCGAGTCGCCTCTGCCTCTGGTCAAAGAAGCCAACTGTTGGGAGGCAGGCTTGTGATCGAATGCAGAATGATGCTCCCATAACACGAAGGATCCAGGGGCAGGACACTGTGTCACTTCCTTGGAGCCCTGCAGTGTGAACAAGCTCACTTTCACTTTTCCTCTCCTAAGGAATTTGCATTTTGGCTCATCAAGGCATCCTTTTTCCTGGCAACTCCGGGAGCACATGTGACTTCACAAAACCTGCGTGAACGACTGCCAGACGGTCAGCTCTATGCCAAGTCTCCTTCACCATGGCCAAGTACAGGCAATCAGAGAGGGGTTTCGGAGGGGAGCCAATGACCCAGCAAAAAGTAGCTGTGCATTATCCAGATGCTTCTCTGTGGCCACCTCTTGTCCTTAGGAAGATGGCCTCTGGGTAGATAGAGATGGCTCTCAATTCAGGAATTGAGGAACTCTGTTATCTTGGAGAGCAAATAATTGATCCCTCTGAGTCTGATTCATCAATCAGAAGTGTGAATAATAGTACAGATTTGTGAATTTGTTGGGGGATTAAATAAGATGTCCAATAAGTGTCTGGCACAGCAGTTTTCAGTATATGTTAGACATTATTTTTAATATTATTTTATTACATAACTCCTAGATTCTGTCTTGATCTCCCTAGCTCTGGCCTTAGAAGACTAAAAAGCATTCTCCGCTGTCTCTTAAGTCAGTGGCCCAGAATGTGGGAGAATGTGCAAAGATTGGAACTGGAGAACTTTGCTGAGGGTGACAGTTAACAGCCTAGAATCAGCCAAAGGCTGACAAGTAATAACTACTAGTATTTATTGAGTGCTTATTATATGCCAGGCACTTTTAAGTTTTAAAGCATTCACTCCTCATATTCAATCCTACTGGAAAAGTGCTATTTCCATTTTTTTCCTTAGGAGGAAACTGAGGCAAAGAGGGGTGAGGTAACATGTCCAGGTCACATAGACTTTGCGGGCTCCGCAAGGGGAAGAATTCATCATAGCCCTGAGGTCCAACACTGCCAGAGCCAGGGGTGACCTCCTCCTGCAAAAAGACTCCAAAGGGCAGATGAGACTTTAAGGGCATCAGGGGAGCAGGGTTGGGATGAGAATCCCAACCAGACTCAGAATGAAGTCCAGGGCCTAGCAGGGAGCAGGCTTTAGGATCCCCAGGAGG